ACGATGTTTACGGCGTTAACCATCCTAGCTGAGTGGCTCGTATTTGCGGTTTGACGAGTATGGGGAATAACTCCGTTTAACGGTGGGTCACTATGCTTCTATTTGAGAGGAAACATCATCAAGGTCTTCCCAGGATTGGCGCAAAACCGGAGCAAATATCGGCCTGTGGTTAATTAACCACGGAAGTTTAATCAGCGAGAGTGACCCTATAACTCTCCGGAATACGAAATAAAAGATAGCACATACACGATCGATAGCGGAGAATAAATCTATTTCAAAGTTAAAGACCAGCGCGGGTCAAGTATGATGCAATTCTCAGCCAGGTACCATTTTCGATCTTTCCAAATATAATTTGTCTCGCCGCTTAGGAAGATCAAACATATTTGCACATTGCACCGTTTGCAAAACGACCTTTTCCATCTTAAATTCATTCATTTGCAAATTTACGATTGGTAAAAATTATTTTTGTCTTTCTGCAAATAATAAATTCACTACTGATAATTCCTGTATTATTTGCTTTTTTATATCTCGTAACAATAAATCTTTACATCTGCCTCTCACATATAAGCAATGATTTACGAGAAAGTGAATTTCTCTTTTGCAGCCATTAACAGAAAAATTTTCTAATTATCTCCGCTGTATTTCGCGCCTATAGGAAATTAATCACGTCAAGACAGATGCATTGGTAAAATTTCACGTAATTGATACAAAATGTAACTCTCATACGTACGAGAGGTAAAGAAACTCTTGCAAAGCGTAAGTTCGCGTGACACTCGTTTACTTTATTATCGATATCCGCGACGCGTAAACCTAAAATACGCAGACGCCCCGGGTAACAGCGGTACAAAACGTATTATCGAAAACAAACGCAAGGAACAAGTCTTTTGTAAGCCGGCGAATGGGTGAAAGCACGCCGTTCACAATAGGCGCCTTTATTCCGCATGAAAAGAGAAATCGCGATAGTCTTTCAGTCCAGAGGCGCAAGCCCGACGAAACAAAACGTTGACCGTTAATTAGCCGCGAACGAGTTATAAGCCTCGCAAGTTATAATTCGCGCACGCAAATCGCACAATGGGGTAATGCGTGCACCTACGTCGCCACCGAGCCCCGGATCGATGACATAAGAAAATCGGTCAAACCGAAGAAATCCGTACGTTGGATATGCGCGCGCGAAGAAATCGATGTGTCAAGTGTTTGAAAGAAAATATAATACAATTATTAAAGTGTTCTGTGTATCAAGAAACCTACGTACGCTAATAATTAATTGGAGTAATTTATTCTAAAGGAAATTAATGACAGAGGGTCTTCGAATAGTTTGAAACGATTCCTCCTCGATATAACATCTTCGTTATGTTGCAATTTTTTAATATGCAACATTGGATTAGAACGTATATATATAATATTTTGCCAAACCGTTTGCTTTGAATTAAAATTCTGGAACAGCCAGTTGGCTACTGAAGGCTACTTGGATGTATGTCAACAAAAGTTTTATTCTAGCGTACTTTTAAAACATGCCGTGACATACTTTTATATTGTGACTAACAATTAGTGTGTTTTACGTATTGTAACCTACTTTAATGTACTCTGACATACCGTCGTCAATATTATACAATATACATATACTTCGTGCTCATTACGCGGAGAGAATTTTCTCTTAAAATTTACCCTGAAAATGTGATCGTGGGACAACGCGGCATTTTGTAGAATTTTATGAGTTTTTTAAAAATATTACCATACATTCTACTAGTAAAATATATACTAATTGTAAGTGCAATCACTAGTAAAATTTCAAAAAACGCTCATAAAATTCATCTTCGAAATTCTTCGAAATGCCACGTTGTCCCACGATTACATGATTTTCAGGGCAAATAAGAGAAAATTTCGTGTGGTAATAAAATTAGTTTATCAATGTAACACATAATCTATATTTTAAAGGACATTTATATGTGCAGGCACAACTCTAACTGTAATGTTATTACTGTATTATTATTGCGTTATTTTAAAATAATAAATATTAAAAAAGAGGTATGTTACATTGACGCATCGTAGTTGTGTATATGTGTACGTGCGTGTACACAATTCATTCAACAATTCTCGCATTTTCCGATTATAATTATGTACATACTAATTTCAATTCACCCAGATAATGGCTTTTGATAAAGTAAATATTTCCTCGTCGAGAGATTTACGAGAAACAATTTAATGTAGATTAAGTGCCGAGTCGCTTTTCCTTCAATTATCAGCGAATTCTTGTATTTTGAGCGTCCTTCTCTCTTGTTTACATTTTACATTTCAGATTTTTACTCGAAGACTAAGAGAGAGAGAGAGAGAGAGAACGTAATTGAATAAAAATGTACTGAATAAGATAATAGAACAAGATAAGAGAGAGAATAATACATAGAGCTAGATAAAAATATATTGACATTTTGTCGTTCCAATTTCCATTAGTAGCCATAACATTAATTTAGATTGAATTGACCCGATTATATATATAATTAAATTACATACAATGCCTTATTTGAAATTCTTATTAGGGAACATTTAATTCGGTTAAAGCCATGTTTGCATAAGTTTCTCTAAGTGACATTAAATCATAATACGTGCTCTCGAAAAGTCAATCAGTGGATTATCACTGAAAACAGTGAATATTCACTTATTCACAGTTATAATGCGCTAATTGATTTTTAGAGAGTGCGGATAACGAATGCATATAATTTTGCTTCTCTATTTATAAATATCTCGAAAAACAATTCATTATTTCACGTGTGTTAAGAGCGAGACTGAATAAGGCGGCGCTGCTGATTGAAAGTAAGTTGGCCCGTATCAATACTAATTACATACTTGTCACCCCTTGATTATCTCCAATTCCCGTAACGACGAATTAATATCGGCACGCCGTGACGCACGCGATATTGTATAACGCAATTTATAATACGCGGCATATATCTATTATCAACATTAATTATTCCGCGGGGTAGCTACGACGCACGGTGTGAGTAACTACGACAGTAATTAGCTCAGTAATCCACGGCGCATTCTGTGCAGTTCCACGGAACACAACGCCGCGATGCGTCGGGGCGTTGGGAAGTAATTTTGTATGCAACGGGAGACGCGCGCCGGCCGAGTCCGCGGGAGTCCACAATTTCAATTGGAAATTATAATGGAAATCTACGCCCGGAAATTTATTTCGGATCCTCCGCGGCTCGCTAATCCGAGTGAAAAAAAAATCCGCGTTACAACGACGATCCGCGAGGCGAACGATGTTTACGTCGCGCGTTAAAAAAATAAGGAGATCCTTATCGATTGCAAAATTCGGCTAAGTAGCCTTCAGTAGCCAACTGGCTGTTCCAGAACTTCAATTCGAAGCAAAAGGTTCGGCAAAATAACTACGTTCTAATCCAGTGCTGCATATTTAAAAATTGCAACCAGCGAGGATGTTCTATAGCTTTGAGTCACCTGATCTAAAAACTCGAACCAATAAATAGGCAGAAGATCACCTTTATCTTTTACTTATGAAACATATGTGTATATCTGAATTTTGCCAAATTGTTTTTGAAGGAAAGAAATATACAACTAACATAGGACGATTAATTTAACTTGAAGATGTGCCAAATTCGATGTCAGCACTTTGAAAAGAGTTAGACAAAAACAATAAAATTTCTTGACAGCCTGTTTCGTTTGCGAATTTGTAAGGAAAAATGATAATTTCAACAAATTTGTAACATCCTATAAACACTAAGGTCTTCAAAATTTTCACATGTTCACATAAACTTTTCTTTATAAAAAAAAACCTCAAAAAACAAAAACTTTTATAAAATATCGGACAATACTTGAGAAACGCCTTGCATAAAATACCACGTTGCGAACATAAAGCGAATCAGAAAGTAAAGTCTCGGACACTGTTGTAAAAATTCACATTTTTATAAATGGCATAAGCCTCTTATCGTGCAAGCCCCTCAAGAGTCAAACCAATTCCACAAAATATAAAGGAGACAACCGACGAAGCTATAAACTAATATATACTTTGATACATTTAAAAATTTATAAAAAGCTGTCTCGATCGTAGTTTTATTTCCGAAAGACTGCACTTACACGACTGCGTGCCCGATACAATCGTTAAGGCCTTTACCCCTATTTCTGTGGAGCCTGAAGACTCTGTAGTTCATGTTAAGCGCGCCAAGTGCGCTGCAGCTATTTAAAAGTATCCGGGTCGAATCTGGAAGCACCAAATATTCGAGCAACAAGACGCGTGTACGTGCACGCCTCACGCGGCGCGGTACATACAGCAACTCGCATTGATCCGTCCGTCTTGACTTTCGCTCGCCCAACGTGCGCACACACACACACACACACACACACACACACACGTATACACGCGCATAGCGTGGCACGTTCAATATGAATAATGGATTCAAATCAAACCAGCCGTTTAGCGTGAAAGCGTGTGCCGCGGATTCGCGTCTGTTTGCATATGCGGATTTAATCTGCGTAATTTGTGTAAGTCGCCTTCCGATCGCCCTCTCGTGCGCGCGGTTGAAAGCGCGCGCGCGCGAGCGCGCGGGCGCACGGGCGCGCGCGTGACGGAAGACGCAATTATTGAATAACGGGCAAAATGGCAGCAGGGAAGAGTAAGGAGAGAAAGAGAGAGGGGGGGGGGGAGAGGAGGAAAAAACGAGAGAGCAATAGAGGGGGGAGAGCAATCGCTTTTGCTGCCGGTTGTACTCTCTCGGCTTTAACGTGTTGCACCGGCAACAACGAACACGGTGCGCCACGGCGGAAATAACACGCTCGACTTAACTTACAAGAGACACGCCACCATTTTCCAACGGGGACGTCCCCCCGTCGCCGCCGCGGGCTCCGTCCCCCCCCCCCCTACCCCTCTCGTCGATGTGTACTCGATTGCCCCGATAACGGGGGCACCTCGGCGAATAAACCTCTTGGCGATCGATTTCGGCGGCCGATTTACTAACGGATCCACCTGTCTCTCTTTACCGTTTCAGGTGACAAGATGGCAGCGATACAGCGCCGCAAGACGTCGGCAGCGAAGAGGAATCTAGCGGGCGTGCTGGCACCGGCGCTACTCGTCGTGGCGGGCGTCGTTTTGGCGCGATAAGCGTTTCACTTCGAAATGTCCATAACTATTACGTCATTACTTCCGTTTGTGATAGATAGGATATTACCCTCCCTCTCACCCCTCCTCCTCCTCCCCCCCCCCTCGGAACTTTACGACCCGCCCTCCTTTTTCACCTCCTCCGCTCACCTCACGTCCTCCCCCTCGTCCGTCCCTCGCGGGGTCTTCTCTCGTCCCCGAGCCCATGTTTCCCGTCTTCCGTTCCATCTTCCGACTTACCCTCCCTCCATTCCTCCCTTCGCTCGTCCCTCTTATTCCTTATTTACTTTAGTCGAGGTTGCCGCCGGCTGGACTACTTAGATATGCGAGATTTTCGTGGAAGATTGCGCGATTGCCTGCTCCAAGTCATTACGCGCGACGCGCATGCGACTCGAATTATGTAAATACTGCCCGGGTCGAATACGCCACGACGAGGCGGATTACGTTAGGCCAGGCCTGTCCAACTTCCGGGGCCGCCGCTGATCGTCCGTTCTCGACAGACCAGATTTCAGGCCGGTCGGATGGAAAATTCACGCGGTCAGTGCAAACGAATCGATCGTGTTGCTAACAAGGTGAGGCTATATCTCTCGGTAATCGGAAATCATTGATGAGACAGGTTCCAAAACAGCGCACAGATCTCCTGGTGCGTGCGTGTGCGAGAGAACGATGCAAGTGTTTATGTGTAGCTGCCGTAGCGCGTTTTCCTTAACGATATTTCATACTGTTGATATTTACGAGCGGCGCGGTCGTCAACCTCACACTTTTCATTCACGGACTTATTTTGTCTTAGAATTGATCGATTAAGGATGTTTAGTACCTATCTACAAAATATTGCAAGTTCAACAAACAAAAGTTCTACAGATTGTTCGCACATATGTTCGGAGACTTGTAAAGGCCGGTGTCTACAATGCTGGAACTTGGTCCAAGTCCGAGAAATGTGTAGCCAAGCAGCTTGCAGCTTTTATAGAATAGCTGCAAGTCGATTGGCTACATATTTTTGTGCAAGTTCTAGCAAGCATCGTGGGCACGAGTCATAAGAATTTTAATTAGCAACGTTCAAATTTATCCGCGAGGTTTCGAAAAACGTGTGGCCGCGTTGCTTCAAATGACCAAAACGGATGAAAAAAAAATTAAAAATACACGGAAAGAAAAATGTAGCTGCTGTAGCTAAAAACTGCACGTGGCAACTAAATTTAAGTTGTAAAATATGGACAGCTAATATTTAATTGTGACAACTAAATATTTTGCTACTGTACCTATTTTATTAGGTGCTACAGCAAACCATTTGCTGTGCTTTAAAAATTTATAGTTATGGCAGCAAAATATTTTTAACAAATCATAATTAGCTACGGTAGCGAAAAGTTTTTTTCAGTCTACATTTCCGAACTCTAGCTATGAATAAATAATAAGATTCTGCGCAAGTTTTATTGCCCAAACTACATGAGAAGAGGATATATTTGTCAAAGTCGAATTTCAGCTACTCTTTGCTACGATTGTACGTACAAAACATCTTTAAACAAAAAATGACCAAACAGCACTTCTAAATACGGGAAACGTGTCGCTCGAATGATTTTGAAACGGGATACTGCCATTTAATAGAATCCAAACGATTAAAATAATAAAATCTAGGTGTTCGAAGGTCATTTGCGTTATTCAGGAAAACGAGCGATTGATTGGATTCTCTTCACTTTGAGAAAATAACATTCGGCTCAAGGATGTTGACTCTCTTTGGATAATCGTGATTATAACATTCGCAATAAGCATGAAACTAGCCGGTGTGTGCATTATTGTAAACCGAACGGATTATTTCGAGCCACATTCGCGATGCATGTATATTTTATTATACATCATGATTAAATAATGCATTTAATAATAATAGATTAATGTGGCAGCATTGATCGCGGCTGCGTCTTTGCGACCAATTGATGCCGCGAATTAATTCGAAACTGCGTACTGAAATAAAGTCAATTTTGCGTCGCGATTCTTTGCAGGTCGCGATGAGAGAAAAAGGGCACTCACTTTCTCGACGTTTACTCGTCTCGTTAAGATCGCAATAACTTGGCGGATATTTCGAAAATCAATCCGAATATCGATACGACCTCTTTCTACTTATACAATAAAACCTGCTTGAATAACGCCGAAGTCTGAAAAATTTCTCTCGATACGTGCACAGGCAAAGAGGCATGAAAAGGACGTGTACACCTGGAAATACCGAGTCAAAACGCGAGAATTCACGTCGACGCTCTCTGCTCGCGCCGCAATCTTACGTTTTTCGTTTCTATAAAAATTGTTACGAAAAATTGTTCGCTTTACAAGCGAGAGCGCGTCTGAATCTCTCACCGGGGGTCGCAGAAGTCGCCCTCGCGACGTTGCGACGGCGCTGCGAGATGGAGATCGCACCGTCGCGTCGCGTCGCACGAAAACGCGTTTATTGCACGACACGCCGTCGCGAGAGAGTTTATTGCACGCGGAACAAAGGAGTACATACGTACGTACGTACGGCTGCAATTCCCAGACGGTGAATCGAGCGTCGCTCCCGCGCGCCACCGTCATTAAAGGCCATCATTAAGGCGTCTCGCGGCCGCCTTGTTACAGGTTTTACCACTGAATTGGATTTGTCTATCCGTCACTGCGCTCGAGGAGGCAGCGGGAATAGATTGAGAGGTGTTCTTCTGCGCTGTAATTTATCGCGGAATATTCTTTTTCAACTAAAACCGTGCAGCTTCGCGGGGATATTTTCTGTCTCTTTGAATATAAGTATATTAAGTTGTCCCAGCAAGGATGAGTCGTTGCCTTTATCTCTGTAAGGGATTAAAAGTTGCTTATTTGAAAGAGTAAAGCCCTCCACCTAGTAGACATTTTCATGGTTTGTGTCCAGCCAAAGTGGATTTCAAGAAAAAGTTGATCGATTCAATTAGCGACATCGATCAGCGCAACTTCATCAAGTTTTGTACTTTGCTTGGCTACCGAACAGCATCTCAAGAAAGCTTTAGGAGACAGAGCATATTTGAAGAATACACATAAGATAGACATAATTAAAAGCGGAATCGCATTGGCATCGAAAGAGCATCCATACTTTGCCGAATGTTATTTTACATACGACGATCGCGAATTTTCTCGTTTTCCTCATACATGCGCGCAGAATGTTTGTACATAAAATGAGTTAATGAATTAGCATATCAGCTGAACGTGGGACAACCGACGTTATATAATGTTGCAAGGATCGAGCCACGTAGCTCAGATCTCCAAATCGCATACGAATGTGTCGTCTCTCTTGTTATTAACGCCCACTCACTTCTTCTCGGTCCTCGCGTTTATTCTTTGACTCATTCATTATTCGAGTCCTGATCTACATGTAAATAATTGACATTGTCATACACAAGTATCTCGGCACGATCAAAATAGCAGTTGTAAAATCGTCACGATTAACTTCCATGGATAAACCAAACCGATTTCTTATTCAAAACGATTTCGATCTCACGAAATTAGCTCGTATCCTGTTCTCCGTTAACGTCCGGTCTACGAGTCGTTAGCCGTTAGGCAGAACTATATGTCGGTCCTTTATCTTTCGCCCAGAAAGAAAAGGGCCTGGACAATATAGTTTCGACCTCTGACTAACGACTGACGATTCATTGCAGACCGGGCCTAGCAGTATCGGAGATCCGCGAGAGTTTTGTACGTGCGTCCTTTCGCAGGACTTTTCGCGCGAATTCGCGATATGGAGCACGTCTCGAGGCGCGCTTGCCGAGCCAGTTACAACGCGGCATCGTTACTGGGCGTATGGAAATAGAACCCACCAGTTGGACAGGCCTAAGACACGTGGGCTCACCGACCGACGGCGGCGGAAACGTGTCGTGCGGCGTTACTCTCGAGGGGCCCACGAAACCCACGTAGCATCGTTTTCTCTCGCCCGAAAACACTGTACACATCGGATACGCGTAGCGATTAAGGCGATTCAACGGTTCTTTCTGTATATCCTAATTTTAAGGTGAGACACGCGCGCGCACGGAGCTACCGAGAGAAAGGACCGGCGAAGAGAAAGGAAGCGGAGAAGAAGAAAGACGTAAGAAAAGTAGGATAAACGGTATTTTGTCGGGAATCGAATTCTTGCTCCATCTTCGTTTGTATATTTATGCGTTATTCAGACGACACGTCTCGGGAAATATTTCCTGAAAAACGTCTCTCGCTCCTTCCACGCGCGCGGAAGACGGATATGTCAAGGGGAGCTCGCAGGTGGAAATTCAGGATACGTATGCGCGACGTTCGTGCCGTTTAATCCTTGAGGGATACAGTATACGTGAGATTCATGTAGCCGCGATGAAATCTTGGCGGCGTGTCGGAAACTGAACTTGAGTAAAAGGAGTATGAAGGCTACGGAGATGACGCGCGCGCAACTTAGGAAACGTGGAGAGCGGGCCCGGGGTCTCTTTGAGATTCTTCTTAGGCGCGGAATCGCGTCTAATGGAAATCTCACGGATTTGACACTCGAGAACCGCCTCGCCGCTGGAACTCACGTATATGTCGGCGTCGCCGATATTACGTCTTCGAGCGCAGCCTGTACGCGACGCAACTCTGTGTATCACGATATAGCGATTTATTGTAGCAAAATACACGATATGCGATAAAAAGAAAAGAGACTCCTGCAGCTATAGACTTCCATTCTCCGAAAACACAACGGCAAGATATCTGTTGCCGCCCGTCATCGATGGAGGAAACCTCCATCGGACGAATCGCGTGTACACCACGTTTTTCAATCGCAAGTCTGACCAACGATAAGATTTTAACCGACGTCGGCACGAGTATCTAATTCGGAACACGGAAGTTAGGAAAGGTACGTATTTCATTTCTAAAATATTTTAGTATAACTACAGGGAGAGAAGTTTCTCCTAAATATTGTCGTGATAATGTGATTTTTTAAGAGCTTTGAGTTTTCTGAAATTTTACTCTCTAAATTTTTTGGAGTGGAATCTTACTCTTTTGGAGTGAGATTTCGCTCGAAGAAATAATGAAAATACTGCCAGGCCGACTAGAGTGCAATTTCACTTTTTGAAAGAGTGCCGTTATTCACTCTTTACTTG